TTCCTCCAAGACTTTGAAACTGTGCTTGAAACTAACCCAAATAAACTAAGCTCAGTGTTCCCAAATAGTTATAGATCACACGACTTCACCCACATTTTAATTGTTTGAATATATTTAACATCACAGGAATTTTCTCTTCCAAAATGCTCTTTGTGCACATCACCCTCTAGCAGGATAACGTTCATGTTACAACTATTCCTGCTACAGCTACATCTAGTTACACATCATCCTCTCATCCACTTGATAGTTTTCTCCCTCTTATAACTGTTAATAAGTAGAATGTTGTGAAATATTTTTACACTAACTGTTCCAAACTTTCCTTCTTGACATGTTTATTCAGCTCAAAATTTAAAGCTATTTATACTTTAAGAAATATTTACAACCTTGAAGTAATAATACACAAATTAAACTCCTACAAGGTTAAAGGATTGTGCAGCCATAAAAAAAATTATATTATTCAAGATTTCAAGGCTTTCCTTTATAGCTTCTACAAAACTTCAGCACATTCACACATTTTTATAAGCTACTGGAAAAGAGCCACTCAGAACCTCATATTGGAGAAACAGGACTAAGAACAGTGAGGAAATAAAGCAACATTTTCCTACCAGATTTCAGGATAGATTCTTACCTCAGGGACCACTCCCAGACCTCCAGATAGAAGAATTCTGTCGGGAGCACCCAAAAAGGTCCAGGACAGAAAAGATACATCATAGCCTGGAGGTTACTTATATCAACCAACACCTTGGGGGGAAGCGACCTCACCCCTCAGCAGGTGGATCCAAACTAATCAGCAGAGGATGGGGCTGAAGGGCAGATCCTGACCAGCTCAGGCTGCTCCTGTTAACTCATTAAGGCAGGAGGAGGTGGGAGCTGGGTAAATACATTGATTTACATAAAAACTGAGTGAGGAAAGGAGCAGGGTGTTCCTCACTGTGCCAGGTGCAGCAGAACAAGGTGCTGACGCATCATCGCTCCAAAGGGGAAAAAAATAAAGCAGTGCTCAGGTTGCTTGAGTTTAAAGGGGGAAGATGTACAGAATTCCTTAACTTTTGTGGGAGAAAGGAAAGTGCTTGGGGATCCTGAGTTACTGAGGAGGAGAGCAGGAGATCTCAGGTAATCATTCAAGGCTGAAGGACAACAGAGAATCATAGAATATCATGAGTCCAGCTCCTGGCCCTGCCCAGGACACCCCAACAATCCCCCCCTGTCCCTGAGGGCATTGTCCAAATGCACCTTGAGCTCTGTCAGCCTTGGTGCTGTGACCACTGCCTTGGGGAGCCTGGTCAGTGTGCAAACACCCTCTGGGGGAAGAATTTTTTCCTGAGATCCAACCTAACCCTCCCCCAACACAGCTCCAGGTGTTCCCTCAGGTCCTACAGGATTTACCTTACTTATTTCACTTGGTTTTTCTACACCACTGCATAAAACCTCCCCTCTAAGTGGCTTTTTGTACAAACTACTGACTCTACAGGGGGTAAAGTTCAGCAGGAGTAGAAAAATATATGGTTCCAAACCAAGATTCTTCTTTTTTCTTAAATTCCCACACAATTTTCATGATCACCTTCGTAGGCATTCGCCTCTGTTTTTGTTCCTACACCAATCCTTCTGAAAAGTGCCTGTGGAATGACAAGTACAGTCATTCCATCTCCAGAAAGCAGCAAATCAGCTGAAATGTTGAGAGCTGGAAGCTGTGAAATTCCACAGAATTGCTTTTCTAAGAAAAAAACTTCATTGCAATGAAATGGTGGCAATTGCTGCAGTTTGTCTCCAACATTTTCCTCCAATCACATCCAGCCCAGAATAGGTTCTTTGTCTACAAAATGTTGCTCTTTTACAGTCTGTATTAAAAAATTGAAAAAAGTAAAATCCGGCTCTCAGTTTTTAATATCCTCAAAAAATGATGCATAATGTTCTCAGGGGCAAAGAATTGCTTAAATGTTTCATCAGTGTACAGCCGAGTTCCTACCTGGTTATCTCAATGAGAACTTTGTATTAAGGACTCACATATCTTTCAGGTGTTACACATTTTTATGCTGTTTGTTTCATTGCACTAAATATCAGGCAATTTGTTTCGCCTACTCTGAATATAGAAGCAATGCCCCCAGTCACAACTTAAAGGAGTAGCAGCAGCACAGTAACAAAGCCTGAAACCTCCATAGCACTTCACAGCACTGCTGGGCCCCACTCTCAGCTTTCCTACTCACTGTGCTTACACCAAAAATCCAAATATTTCAGTTTTCCATCGTTGCTCCTGGTTGTCCCAGCAGCAGAGCTGTCATAGCTGTTACTACAGTTGTATGTGCTTGGCCTTACTAGAGATCAAACCCAACACTTGGTTGTTGTAAAGAAACACAAAATCACAAAATCCCAGACTGGTTTGGGTTGGGAGAGACCTTAAAGCCCACCCAATTCCACTCCTGGCATGGGTAGGGACACCTTCCACTGTCCCAGGTTGCTCCAAGCCCCGTCCAACCTGGTCTCGGACACTTCCAGGGATGGGGCAGCCACAGCTTCCCCAGGGAACAGTCCATAATCTAAATTCCTTTATGTTTTTAAATCAGTCCCTATTTGAACTTAAGGCCAAGGATGTTAATTCAGCTGCATTAAACATCTGGAGATCAATATTAAGTGTTTCCAATTAGCTTTATTCCTATGTCTAAAGCCCACTAGAACAAAGACCTACAGCATGTTCAGCTCACACAGTGAAAAACAATCCAGAGGCTCGGCCATAACGTTGATATTCCAAATGAACTCTATTAATCTCTCTTTATTTGCCCTTCCACTGTTGCTGGTAGTAGACACCATCAAATAATTATAAATGAGAAGCAGAAAATAAAGCTTTACTCTTCCCATTACTTCCCTTTCTGTGTTTTGCTGACCTTTGTATGGGAAGAGTCCCACTGATGCTCTCAGTGTGGATTGATACCCGGGTAGGTATTTGTAATTCTCTAATGAGAATAAAGGAAAGAAAAAGACTGAAGCATAAGGAAATCTCATTGTAAAGCCATAAAAACTGGCTCTAGGAATATTTTTAGTGACCTGAAGGTGCCCTCCAATCATTTTTAAGGCTGACTATATTTCCAGTTGATTGCATCTATTCATGAGTGTGGGGGGATAAAAATACACCACACTTTTACAGACATGTCCCTAAAATCTCTTTACTTGCTCTAAGAGATGAAGGTTTACTAAATGTATTACATCATTTGTAAGCAGGAGGTTGGATGTAAATACATCAAGCATTACATTTTTAAATGACCTGAGAGAAGGAGTATGGGAAGTAATCCATTTAATCCATTGTAAAACAGTTGGAGTCATCACTTTCTGCAGGCTTTACTCATGGGGGGATTTCCCTAAGATAATCACTAAATTGATTTATACCCTTGCACAGGTTCAGAGCCTGGGTTAGTGGGAAAAGCAGCATTTGTGTCTTGGTTTGTTCTCAGTTTAATGAGAAAGGAAAACAGGAGGTGAGTGGTTGTAATGTAAGTGATGAAAAAGATCCCTGAAGTTTTTGAATTTAATAAGAGAATACAGATCGTTCTTATTCTAATCAGTAATTAATACATCTTCACTGAGTTTTGAATGGTCTCCAGCAGGTGCTACAGCTCAAACACCTGAGAGAAGTTACCAGAAACCAGCTCTGAGTGGCACCTGCAAATCCTTTTGCAAGCACATAAAAGCAGCACAGCCAGCTCTTCCCTAGACTGGTTATATAGTTGGGAAACCAGTTTTCCCAGGGGTGTTTGAGCCCTGGTTATGCTAGGAGGTACCACTTAGATGTCTGTGTGTTTTGGATTTTTATTTCTATTATTTTCCCTGGGCTGTAGCTTTGAGTCTGATACAGCCATCCATTGCTTCAGTCCATTTGTTATGCTGGTGTGTTTTCTCACTGCAGTGATGGTTTTATTCTTTCTTATAAAAGTGTCTGAGGCATTTGTGTGTCTTTATTGACTGTAAAAGAAGTTTAAGTGGTGTGACTAAAGCATCTGAGCAATGGATGGCTGCATCAAGGTGAAATAAAACACTCGTGGGGTATTTATATCTCCCAGGTTACAAATATATTTGGTCTAGAGGATCTGAGCTTAAAAGCCAAACGATGAAAGCCATGCTGTTGTAATACTTGTTGGGGTTGGTTTGGGTTTTTTTTGGGGGAGAGTGGTCTCTAGAGTACCTGTATCTGTAGGAAATGCCCAGGATGAAGAGGGGAGCTGAAAGGACACATTTTTTAGAGCAGTTAATGTTGCATGTAAGCTCTGTGCTGATCCCATGGGATCTAAGAGGTGCGTCAGCCCCACCTGCCTCTCCGAGTGTTGTCTGGGAAGATGCTCTGAATTCTGGGCTGCATCCAAAGGAGTGTGCCACTAGGTTGGAGAAGATTCTCCCCTCTGCTCTGCTCTTGTGAGACCTGACCTGGGTCACTGGGTACAGTTTTGGTGTCCCCAACATGGGAAGGATATGGAATTGTTGGCACAAGTCCAGAGAAAGTCATGAAGTTGATAAGAGGAGTGGAGAACCTTCCCTATGGAGAGAGTCTGGGAGAGCTGGGGCTGGTCAGCCTGGAGAGGAGAGGGTTGCGTGGAGACCTCGGAGCCCCTTCCAGTGTCTGAAGGGGCTACAGGGAACTGGAGAGAGACTGTTCATCAGGAGCTGGAGTGGCAGGACAAGGAGTAATGTGTTCAAACTGGGAGAGGGGAAATTTAGTCTGGATATTAGGAAAAAATTCTCATCTGTGAGGGTGGTGAGGCCCTGGCACAGGTTGCCCAGAGAATCTGTGGCTGCCACATCCCTGGAAGTGTCCAAGGCCAGGTTGGACGGGGCTTGGAGCAACCTGGGCTAGTGGAAGATGTCCCTGCTCATGGCAGGGGGTGGTCCTTCCCAACCTGAATCATTCTGGGATTCTATGCAAAAGGTAACATTTTATGTAGGTTTTTATCTCATTCTCCCCTGACAATGAGGTCAAAGTTTCACAAACAGAACAAGTTTTATTGACATCCACTTACCCTCCTGAGATGCTGCTAAGCCACACCTTCACCTCTGGAGCAGCTCGGACATGAGGTGGAGCCAGGTGTCACAGCACGGTAATTAATGTTAAGTAATTAGCTGGGATTAACTGATTACTGCTCATCGCTGTTAGGCAATTAACGCCTGTGACGCTGCTCAGGACCCGCTCGGGGCGGGAACCGAACCCGCGGCCTCTCTGTCCCTCGGGTCGGCCCGCCCTGACGTCACGCGTCACGTGCCCCGTGGATCGCCCAATCCGCGGCCGCCGGCGGATTCGAACGGCGGCGGCCGTTGGTGGCGTGTGGGCCGATAGGGGGCGCTGTGCCCGCCCTGGGCCGGCGGAGGGGCCGCGATGGCGGGGCCGGGGCCGTACCGCGCCACCCGCCTGGTGAGCACCGGGGAGCGGGGCGCGGTGGGGGCTGCGCCAGGGGAGCGGGCGGCTGCCGGGGGAGCGGGCTGCCAGTGTCACCCGTGGAAGCGCTGTTGGACAGGAGGCGGCTCTGCCCCTCCTAGGTGCTGTCGTGACACGTGGGTGCCCTGGGACCCCCTGCCCGTGTCGCGACATGTGGGTGCCCTGGGACACCCTCTGCCACGGCGTGTGGGTGCCCTGGTGTCTCATGCCCACTGTCACGACATGTGGGTGCCCAGGGACACTCTCCCCGTGCCTGCTATCACGATATATGGGTACCTTGCTACCTCCCATCCTGTGACTCCTGTCACGACATGTGGGTGCCTTAGGGCCACCTGCCTGCTGTCGTGACATGTGGGTGCCCTGGAACAACCCCTGCCCACTGTCACGATATGCGGGTGCGCTGGGCCCCCCTACGCCGTGCCACTGATATTCGCAATGCTCAGCTTGAGGCTTTAATTTTCCAGTTTGGGCTGTTTTGTTTTCCGTGCAGTGGAACGAGATCACCAAGTACTTCCGAGCGGGAATGCCCCTGAGGAAACACAGGCAGCACTTCAGGAAGCACGGGAGCTGTTTCACTGCCTCGGAAGCTGTGGATTGGCTCCATGAGGTCCTCAGGAATAACAGCAACTTCGGCCCCGAGGTGACCAGGCAGCAAACGGTGCAGTTACTGAGGAAATTCCTCAAGAACCACGTCATTGAGGATATAAAAGGGAGGTGGGGAGCTGAAAACCTGGAAGACAATGGTGCCTTGTACAGGTATTGAGATGAAAATTATTTATTGGCTCTTCAGGTTGAGAATTTAATTTTAAAATACTCAGATTTAGGCTGAGCAGTTGGGCCAAAAATTTAATTATTACATTGTTTTGCTCCTTTCAGTGTTTTACTTTGTTCTGATTCTCAGTATAGACCATACATCTTATCTGCTTTGGGTTGTTTCCATGCTCTTGTCTATCCAAGCTTTTCATTGGAATACATTCTGCACTCCAGTGCTTTGAAGGGGAGCCAAGGAGTGGTTTGTAGTAGCTCCCTGATGCGCTTATTTCTCCTGTACCTTTTACAGAAAGTCTAAATGGGAAACAGAGCCAAAAAGCTCTAAAATGAAAGGTGGTAATGGCCTTCACTTCTCAAATTCTGGGCTTAGTGCTCTCTAAACATCTGAGCATCTTCAGCGTGACTTTGGCATCACAAAAAATAGCCCAAAGTTAATCTATCATATGATAAAGAAAAAGAAAAAATCAGTGTTTTCCTTCTTATTTTCCTGAATCTCTTCAGAATCTTAGAGTCACACTGGTATGGAGTCACAGGGTATTGTTTTGCTTAAGTAACTTATTTTATTTCTAATTTTAGCCACCAGCGCACTTGTGACAAACGTGGGTAGAGACCTTTCCCAAATCTTCGTTCCCGAAGCCCAGCTATGACATTTCTAATCTATTCTGAATCTATTTCACTCATCTCTCCCACCCGTTACAGATTTCCTTCAACATCTCCAGTTAAACCTCTACCAAGCCCACCAAGAGAGAACTTGGAAAACTTCCCTACGGACAAAGAAAAACTTTTTAAACTGCCCCATTTATCCAAGAGGACTTTGAAAAAACACGAGTTACTGCAGTCCCTGGTAATAACTTCTGTTTCTTACGTCATTGCAGTTGTCTTGTATTGTCTTTATTCTTCAAAAACATAAAACTAGAACCAATCACCTTTTGGTGTCACTGTTCTGTTGTGGCGTCTCCCCTTTCAGCTTGAGAAGTAATTTGGTAGTTAAGAAATTGAGAAGTATTAAGAAATAAATTGGTATGGGAGGATTTTTGTTTGCTTCTGGAAGTATTGGGAGGGACAAATAAAAGACACAAATTATTTAACTGGTCAGTTTTTTGGGAAAGGTTGAATGTGTGTCCCTTTATTCATTTGAAATTTGTGTATGTGCATAAATTCTGAATTTAGATTCCAATCCTAAAGGAGGATAAATCATTTACAAATACATTTGGATGTGAGATGTTTCTACCTTTTAAATTGCTGCTTTGGGGATTGATCAGCTCTTTTTTCAGTATCCTCTTTTGCTTTTTAGTTGTGTGTGCTTACATTTCAGTGCTAAAGCTGAAATACCATATGGAATTTATTGTTCCACAGAATTCCCTATACTTCTGATTCTAGTTTTTTAATTACTTAATTTTGAATTATCTTGAGTCCTGTTTATCTTACATTATAAACCTCTCATTTTCAGGAAAACCTAGAAAAAACAAAACCTGATGTGATAAAAGAGAACAAGGAAGACACACTACAAAGGAAGGAAATAAGCCAGCAATATGTGCAAGAAACTTGGAGAAATATCATTCTGATACAGTAAGTAATAAATCATAAATAGCACCTTCTCATACAAGTGCTTTGGGTGTGAAATAGCCCATCAACCTTTTTAAGTTGAAGATTTTTACTGACTATTCTCTACATAGGCTTCCTAGTGTGTTTATTAACATTGAATTGTTGCATTTAAGGAATTCTTGATTATTTGCTGTTGCTGAAGTATATTTGAGTACCACAGATGCTCTTCCTTACTGGTTGTTGCTGTTTGTCCCAGAGAAGAGCATGTCCTCCAATTGTTCTCCTGAAAGTGAGAATTTATTAAACAAACAGCAGATGAGCTTTTTAAGCACCTGGTTTTGAATAGATAGGGAAAGAACTGATTTTTCCTTCATTATTACAAACCTTCTAGACACCCCATGCTCTTGCTCCCCACAGTTTGCAGACCATCCTGGGCCTCCCGTCGCTGGAGGAGGTTCTGCAGCCAGCACAGGTGGTCCCTGAGCACATCATGTACAACATGAGCAACACCAGCAAACACGGGGTGGTGATTCTGCAGAACAAGTCAGGTAAGATTGATTTCCCTGGTCTCCCTTCAGGATTCTATGTGATGTAATTACAACAGTAATTAATATATTTCGTGGTCTGTCTTTTTACAGTTTTTTCCCAAACCACAGTACAGTTCAGTATTTTTGTCTAGAAGATTTGTAGGTATATTGCATTCCCTCTTTATACAACGAGGTAGTCACAGAATCCTGGAATATTTTGGGTTAGGAGGAACCTTAAAGCTCATCCAGTCCCACCCCCTGCCTTGGTTTGTAACCCTCCCTGGGTGGGAAACGGAGCTAGGATAGTAGGACACTTTCCACTATCCCAGGTTGCTCCAAGCCCTGTCCAACCTGGCCTTCGATGCTTCCAGGGATGGGGCAGCCACAGCTTCTCTGGGCAACCTGTGCCAGGGCCTCACTGCCCTCACAGCCAAGAATTTCTCCCTAATATCTGATCTAAACCTGCCTTCCTTCAACTGAAAGCCATTCCCCCTTATCCTGTCAAAATTACATGTGTAGCAATATTTTAAATTAATTTAAAATCTCATATTTTATAATTGAGGTGTTATTTAATATGTGTGCCATTGTTTGTATTAGTCATTAAATCTTTGGGCTTATGTACAAATAATGTCATTGTTTGTTTATATTTTAGAAGACCTCCCACACTGGGTGCTGTCAGCTATGAAGTGCCTCGCATACTGTAAGTCACTGAAGAGCTTTTAAGTTACAGAAACCTATTTTGAGTGTTGAAAGTAAATATTCATTATTATTTGTTTTATAATGCAGTTGTGAAATTTTTTGTGTGAATTTTCTTTCTTCACCTCTTTTCAGGGCCCAGAAACAATGACATGAGCCAAGCAACTTACAGTGGGTTTGAACGGGACGTGTTCAGAACAGTTGCTGATTATTTTCTCAGTCTCCCTGAGCCGTTACTTACTTTTGAATACTATGAACTTTTTGTTAATATTTTAGGTAAGTATGAATTTAGAAAGGATCAGTAAAACTGTAAGTTCATATCAGCTGGGGAACAAATCTGTAAATCAAAGCAGACCTTGGTCCCTAATCTGTGTGGCAGCTTGAATCTGAGGAGGATCATCACTGCTCTCACTCTGTATTAAAGTATTAATTGAAACGTAGTTCTGTCTCGTGATTTCTATTTAAATTGCTGTCTGAGCACACATTCTAAATATTCAGTAACTTAAAAATACAGCTCGTTCTGTCTGTCCTCACTACTGCAGTGCGTTACCTTTTTTATTCTTGCATGTTGGTTGCAATTATCTTGTTAAATTGCTTTTGGACTGAGCTAAATTCTTCTTAGGTTTTACTAACAGTCAACTATAAATTAATATCTTCCCTTTGTTGTCTTCTCTGCTCAGGTAGCAGCTTTCAGAGCTGGTCCATTTTCATACCACTTGCATCTTAACTTCTATTTCATTTTCTGATAGTTATGTGTGGCTACATCACAATTCCAGATCTGTGCAGTGGAAAACGTTCTGTCCAAGACGAGAAATGTGACCCACAGCCTTCAAAAACTCTTCACTTGAACTCTTTCAAGTCAACTGAGTGTCTTCTCCTAAGTCTGATCCACAAAGAGCCTGACAAGAAAAAGAAAGATGAAGCTTCCAGGAGGTTTTCTTCAGAAGAGCTGACTGTCCAAAACCAACATACAAAGACATGGCAGCAGTATAAACTGAGACATCAGCAAGGTAGTGCTGGTAATCCGATAGGAGGAAGCTGCCAGAATCTTTCAGGTTTCAGGAACAAACAAGCTCCACCTGGAGCATTTAGGACAAGATGTTACTCCTTGGAAAGAATCGGAGCTCCTCCATCAAGTGTGTGTAGTAAAGGAGGATGTGATTCCCTCAGGGAAGGTGGTGTGAACAGTATCACAAGAAATGGAGACCAGTCACTGCTGTGTGAGCACAAAGCTAAATCTGTGTTGGAGGTGGGCTGTGAT